GCAGCTCCGGTACTTTGAGCCTCGCTCGGGAGGGGCCTTAAATGGAAGGGTGGGGCTGACGTCAGGGGGGGCGGGGAGCGAGGGAGCGGGGAGCCGGGCGGACGTGCGGGAACCCACGTGTGGGTCGGGCTGGGGGCGGGCTCCCGGCCGGGCCGGGCAGGGAAGAGGCCCTGGCGGCGCGCGCAGCCAGACGGACCCCACAAGCAGACCCACGTGCGCTGGCCGCCCAGAGGCGCTTGGCCCTACGATCACAAAAACCCCCAAAGACCTCAGCCGGAGCCACCAGCTGCAGTCAGTTCTACCCTCTATTTCCTCCTCCATAAAATGTGGAGTTTGCCCACAGAGAAGGCTGGATTTGAATCTTGGTTTCCCTGTGCCCAGGTCATCTGGCATGAGATAGTCACTCGGCAACTATTTGTTGAAAGAAAACGCCTAGCATAGCGTCAGTCTATTTTTCTCACCTAAGTCGAATGATCTCCAAAAGCTGACCTGCTTTTTCCCCGCTGCTAAACCGTCTAAGCCCCACAGCTCACAGCGAGGACCCAGCCTCTATGCTCTGCTCTCCCTACTGGCCTACCCAACCCAGCACCTAGCATTCCAACCACACCCAAGAGCTGTCAACGTCATTTGTTTGTTTTTTATGGTTTTGTTTTCAAACGTGTTATTTTTACCACCATCCCAAGCCTTTGCTCAGGCGGGTTCTTTTGCCTGGCCTGCCTTCCTCTTCCTTCTCCTCTTTAAACTACCAAACTCCCGGTCCGCCCCCTAACCGCCCCACCCCATACACCCACAGCTTCGGTACAACCCTCCTATCTGCTTCTACCTCACTGGTCTGAGCATCCCTCAAACCCTCCGGCAGTAGAGGGTTCTGCTCTCCTACCTGACAGTGAGTCCCAGGGCATAAGTGAGTCTATTTCCTCCCTGCACCTGGGGCATCACCTAAGCACCCAGCTCCAAGAACAATCCATACGTTGTGAGTTTCTTGGTTGTGAAGGGAAGATTCTAACCTCCTCTCTAGAAAAGCCAGGCTTCTCTCAACCATGTTCTAACAGTGTTCCCATCACTCTAAGGCCCAGAAACCTAGGCGCTCACAGAAACGCACAGCTGGCAGGGCTGAGGGCCAGCCTCAGGTTCTCTAGGGTTCCTCAGGGCAGGGCAGATTGCAACAGTGTCTGTGGCTCCCCCAATGTTTGCAACAATGTCCTCATCCAGTTAGGGCTGGGCCCCTGCCTGCCAAAGATGACCACAGCTGCTGGGAAGAGGAGGCCAGCGCTCAGAGAGCGGGTATAGGCTAAGGAGACAGGTAAGAACCCTCACCAAAAGGGCTCTGAAGATAATTTGGGCAAGGAGTTGCTGTCCCCTAAATTAAAACACTTAACAATAGCTCACTCCAAGCACACTTCCCTTTTCTTATGCAGAACAATAAGTAGCCTCTAACTCTGCAAATAGGAACAAAATAAATACCATTTAATGAGCACCTCCTATGTGTCAGACAGCAAGCTAGGCAATCCCCACGCTCACCTTCACTTTAATTCTTTGTAACAGTCATAATTATCTCCATTTTTTTCCAGATAAGGAAACTGAGGCTAAAAGAGATTAATGACTTTGCCAAGGTCACAGAACTAATAAGATTTCAGCAGGTACTTAACCCAGGACTGACTTCACTCCAAAGTGTGTGATTTTTTTCTTTTCTTTATATGATGTCCCTCCCCAACTCCTTGACTCCCCACTCCACAAAGGTGAAGAAATTATGTAGGGATGTTCAAGCCAGACCCATCTTCAGAAAGTTGTTTTCAGTGAGAGACAGTGGGTATCAGTGAGCATTTCTGCCTTAACTGAGAGATTGATTTTTTCCCATCACCAGGTGGGAATTATACCACCAGCTTTCCTGAGTCTCCATTTAACAGATAATGTCAGATCCACCATAATCATTCCATGAGCCAATTCTTTACATTAAATCTCATTTTACACACACACACACACACACACACACACACACACACACTGTTTCTCTGAAGAACCCTGACTATTGAAATAAAAAGAATTTCTGTAGTAAAGCCAAAGCAGAGGGAGGTTGGGGGGGAGAGGGTGGGTCAGGAAACACTGTTTCAAAGGGCAAAACAGACTTCTCAACCTAAGGGCTCCTTGTTGAGATGGGTGTCCTCTTTAAAAGAGAAAATCTCACAAAAGTGGTTTGATCAGGGTATCCTTGGCCTCAGAGAATGGATGCTGCTCAGCACCCAATACAAGATTTTTCTAAAATGGACCAACAATGCTGTCCACCCAAAACAGCGCTGATTCAGTCCTCCATTCCCTAAGCGTTTGTCACACTCCTCCTCAAGAGGGTTCAGTGGTTCCTCATTCCATTTTATTCCAGAATAAAATCCAAATTCCTTGGAAAGGCACGCAAGGCCCTCCACGACCCAGTGCCCACATGCCCTCTCTTGCCTTATCTCCTATTTGCCTTCGTGCTTCCTGTATGCCAGTCCCAAGGCTCCTTACCACATTGCCCAAATGTGCCAGGTGCATCCACCTAGGCTGTTCCTTCGACCCGAATGTTCTCCCTCTTGCCACCATCTCTGCCCACCCAAACCCCACATCTCCATAGGCCAATACTGTTCCTCGGGCTCGATATTAAATTGATTCTTATAACTGTGCATCTCTTTCTCACTGTCAGCTCCTCATGGACAGAAATGCTCTCATTTGTCTCCATATCCCTAGCATATGCACTTATTTGTTTAATAGATGTATTTTTAATTACGTGCCCGTTATGTAAATGGTACTGTGTTAGGTGGTGGGAATACAAAAAACGAGTGAGGTAAATTAACAAGCCTTCAAAGACTTACCGTTTAGTGGGGGGAGACCAACAGCATCCCCTCAGTAGTTAAAATGCAAGACAGAATGTAACACTGTCACAACAGAAGGAGAAAAAACGGCTCTAGCATTCAGAGGAGAGAGAAGTCCTTGGCTGGAGATATCAGAGAAGACTTCTTGGAAAAGGTAGCATCTGAGCTCAGCCTACACAAAGGTTAATGAAGATCCGGTGTTGAGAAAGCAGAGCACACAGCATGAGTAAATTCAGGGAGGCAGGAAATTTAAGATGTGTCAGGTGCATCTTTAGCTTTAAATGCCAGGATAAGACATTGACAAGAAGCTCAGAACATACACAGCTCCAACCACATGGGCATAGAACACACATTTCTCTGACACATCCCACACATCCCCTCTGAACACTCACTGACAGCCCGGCTTTTTCACCTTTCTCATGGCTGCAAAGCTGATGGCTTTCCTGAGTTGCAGGGCCCAGGATGCAGATGGCCTCATCTGTTTCCTTTCCTGACCAGCAGGGCCTGGTGTGTACGTGCCAAAGCAGAGGTTTCTCTCTCTGGCAAGACAGCAGGTGCCTCCCCTGGGTATTAGAGGAGATGCTGTCCTCCCCCCAATTTTATCCAAATCTCACATGGTGGGAGTGGAAGCCAAAGACTCCGCCCCACTCCTCAGGTTCTCCTGGATGCCTTTCCCACCTGTGCCCCCAACCCCACGCCCCTCCATCTCCTCGCCTCCTCTAGGCTGGGCTTCTCCTCAGGTACTAGATGCTGCCTCTACTTCCCTTTTTGTCTTGGACTGTCATTACCCCCAGAATTCATTCCTCACATGACGCCCTAGCAAAATCCATCCCAGAAACTCTATATTCATCCTTGCGGGATTGCTCAATGGTTAGAGTGCCAGCCCTCAGAAAAATTGGTCTTGGATGCAATTCCTGGTCAAGGGCAGGGCACACACCTCCGTTGCAGGTCGATTCCTGGCCCAGGTGGTGCAGGAGGCAACCAATCACATGGCGCTCGCGCGCTCTCTCTCTCTCTCTCTCTCTCTCTCTCTCTCTCTCTCTCTCTCTCTCTCTCTTCCCCCCTTCACCCCTCCCACTTTTGGGAAATGATTAGGGCTGCTCCTGGGGTAGAGGCAGTCAAGGAGGGAACCAGCCCCACCCCTGGAAATCCATGCCTACCATTCTCTTGTCCCCTATATTAGTTCCAAACTGGATCCAAATTTCCCAAGGCACTGCTGGGTGTTGAATTTGTGTATAAAAGCAGTCTCACAGGGCTTTGAAAGCAGATTACTGATAACAGAACCCATCTCTCTGACTCCTGTGTTGATAGTTTTAAACCTTTAAACCTTACCAAATGGGGAATTACATTCTAAATCTTAGGTAAAAAGAGAAAACGAAAAGTAATTACCTATAAAATTTGAAGAAGATCAAAGCAATTACAAGTGGGAATACAGCCATTTCCTGGGCTGGGTGGGGAGAGGAACGGGAGTCTGAGCTGTGCAGCTGCTGATTGCAGAGCACCCTCACAGAAACTGGGCAGAGGGGCCCTGGGTCTTTTGTTCAAACTGCTGTACAGAGTCACTCCTCACAAAGCAGGAGTGAAAAGGTACCCCCACTTCATTTTTCTAGGGTTCCAGAAGGGGAGCCTGGGATTGTGTTAAGGATCTAAGGCTTTGGTGGGGCCGGTTCAGACAAGGAGAAGACTCTGCTCTCAGCGAGGTAAAGCTCCCTGGGTCCTTCATTTGTGCGTAGCTTAGGGTGGCTTTTATAATCATTCTTTTTTTTTTTTAATTGGAATAACATTTGTTAATATCAATCAGAATCTACCTCGGAAACTTTAAAAAGTTTTATTGGTTAATAAAATTGTATAGTTTTCAAGTATATAATTTTATGATGTATCACCAGTATATTGCATTATTTGCCCACTAGCCAAAATCAAATTTTATTTTTTAACGTCGTTTTTTGATTTCAGAGAGAGAACATCAATGATGAGAGAATCACTGATCAGCTGCCTCCTGCAGCTCCCCTACTGGGGATTGAGCCTGCAAAACCTGGCATGTCCCTGACCAGGAATCAAACCATAAACCTTTCAGTGCACTGGACAATGCCCAACCAACTGAGCCACACTGGCCAGGGACAAAGACAAATCTTTCATTATATATTTGACCCCTTTAAAAAATATAAACACTTCAGAAATTTGTGTGTCATCCTTGCACAGGGGCGATGCTAATCTCCGCATCATTGCAATTTTAGCATACGTGCTGCCAAAATGAGCACCATTTCTCTTCATTCATGCATTTCCACCTCAACTAGGAGAGGAAAGCAGAGCAGGGATTTTTACCTCATTTTACTGGTTAGACTATCAAACCTCGAAAAATGTAATTGCTTCAGGCCACACAGCAGGAAAGCAGCCAGGTGGATTTCGAGTCCCCAGATCAGTTTCCTTCTCCTACACTACTCTGCCTCTCAGTCTTTCCGAAGGTGCTTCACAGCTTCGAAACAGCTAGGCCTTTGTTCCCTGGATATCAAAGGGCACATGAGTTGGATATTCCTGATCCCCTCGCCGAGGGCTGCAGGAAGGTCTAGGCAGCTCACCTGCCCCCGGGGCTGCTCCAGGGCCCTATCCGGTCAGCCTCCCTCTCCCTGGCACTCCGCTAGCCTTGCACAGCCATGTGTATTAAGGCCAAGCTCTGCCCTTTGCACAAGCACACTTGCAGCGTCAGGCCCTCTCAAAGGACATTGTAACTTAGCTCATCCTCCAGTTTTAGCCACAGAAGGGATGAAAGCCCAGGAGAAGCCCTCACAGCCTTGGCCCTCCTTTACCCGCTGAGTCAGAGGGGGACCACCTGCCCCCCACACCTGCTAATACTGCCAGGAGAGATGGGGCTCTCAGCTACGCAGTCCACAGGGCGAGCCGGGAACTCGGGCTCTGACTACCTCAGTTGATTCAGAGTTGGTGACTCAGGCACTGGAACCTCCCAACTAGTCTAGTGTTTGCTCCTCTGCCCCAGACACCTTCTCCACTAGCCTGGGCTCTTTCCTGTGGGCGTGGCTCTCACTTCGGCTCTGACTCCTGGGTTTTTCCACTGTGTCAGAACCTCTTCTTAACAGCCCTTGCTGGGGTTGGCACTTGGCAACGAGGCCTTACTCTGCCAGAGGCTAGCCCCAGCCATTAAAGCTGCAGGATTGGCCGGAGGCCACTTCAGTGGAATTCGTTTTCTCAGAGCTCCCAGCCTCACTCTCCTCTCCAACCCCTGCAGGGGCTGGCTCATGATGTCACAGACTAGGCTCAGCTAGCTCTCAAGCAACCCCCAGGCTCAGCTAGTTCTCAAGCAACAGAAGTTCTCCTCCTTCCCTAAGGGATGGTGTCAACCACAGATGGGCACAGGCTCTGCCAGCATCTCCATGGTAACCAGGGCCACAATTTCCTGCCTTGGGCAATGATCCAGAGCCAGCACCCTTGGCAGGGCTCCTTTGCAGACTCCTGGAGGGCTGCAGGCCCATCGCACTCCACTGTCATCGCTGGAACTAGGGAGGTGGCCCAGATGGGTTGCCCGGAAAACCCAGCAGGCGTTCTTTGGGGCAGGTGCTTAAACAGGGCAGGCTGGGAAGGCCTTCCTTTGGAGGCTGTCCCTTCCCTCCCACATGGAGTTGATTGTGGGGACAGGGTTCCAGGGATTTGTTTTAAACCCTCCTCAGGGCAATCGGTGAAAGTTGACAGCTCCAGTGTGTTAGTTGGCTTCAGACTTTGCTCTCTCTGGTGGAGGGGGTGGGTGGTGGTGGTGGTTCGGGAGATAGATTGCAGTGGATTATGCAATAATCCCAGTTCCTTGCCACCCTGACCCCATAAAATAACCCCCGGGGCAGCTGGAGAGCTGGCTCTCATCCAGGGTGTGGGTGTTTATCAATGTGGAGCCAGAGACTCTGGAGTGACAGGGTGGACAGACCTGCTCTTTGTGGGTCCTCCCCAGGGAGGCCGGGGGCTGGCAGGGCACCCCAGGAACAGGGATAGAGCTGACCTCACTGCCACCATCCCAAGAACTGGGAGATTCTGCTTCCAGTATAAATGCAAATTAGAATGCAAATGAGAACTGCTCCTGGCTCCTCCCATCCTTTCTCAGCCCTCTGTGCACAGCTCTGCTTCTAGCAACAGCATTTGGGCTTGGCAGAAGAGGACAGGAGTGAGCCTGTAATCAATTGTAAAAATATTGTACCAGGTGAGGGGGTCACAGCCTTCTTTGACCCCTAGGGTATTTATTTTCTCCTGTTTGACTTCTTTCCCAATCTCTTTGGGGATTTGCTCAAGTTTGTTATTTGAGCTTTTGCGATGCATAAATAAGAATGCCTGGTGGGGCCCTGGATGAGAAGCTCAGTTGGTTAGAGCATCATCCTGATACGCCAAAGTTGCAGGTTCCATTCTTGAATGTATAAATAAATGGAACAACAAATTGATGGTTCTTTCTCTCTTTCTCTCTCTAAAAAAAAGAAAGAAAAAAAAGAAAAAGAAAAAAGGTATCTGGTAGTGAGATGGTAGGTGGGAGAAGGATTTTGGTCCACAGGTGGTGGGAGATTTGGAAAGAGATGCCCTAACTTCTGTGGACTGATGGAAGTGGATTAGAGAGTTTTGGTGGCCACTGCTGTGGACGTCACTGTGATCACCCCTCTCAAGCCAGGGATTTGAGCTACTTTGAAATCATTAGTGATTCCTGAAGAGTGCTTCTCAGTCAGTGCTGGGACACCAAACTTCCTGGGTCTAGACTTTGTGTGAATTGCAATAATCATCACTCCCATGTCTGAATAGTTAATATGCACCAGCACTCCTGCATTATCTAATCTAATCCTCACAACTACCCTGTGGAGTAGCGAACATCATTGTCCCCATTTTACAGGGACAGGAACTGAGTCTTAGGGAGGTAAAGTCATTTGCGCAGAGTCACACACCCAGGTGTGCTGTAGCCAGGCTTCAGGAAATCCAGGTGGCGTCTGGGCAGGCTCCCAGCTTGGAATCCAGGAGCAGCGACTGCCCCTAATAGCAGGGACAAGGGGGAGTTCCTCCGGGAGATTGCTAGACCTTGCTGGAGAGGGCTCTCTGCAGCAGCTGCACACTCTCACTGACCTAATGAAGCAGAAAATCAATGAGGTTTAGAGAGGCCTCTGCATGGATCTGAGCAGCAGGAATGTGCCTGGGGCCAAGTGACCATCTGGGCAGCTCCGGCCAGCCTGTTTCTGTGATGTGATGTATTTAGTCTTGGGGGCAGAGAGGGTGGGAAACAAAACACCCAAAAGACCCCCTTCTAAGGAGACCCCCATCTTTCTATCTTTCCTTCCAGGCCTTTCAGGGTATAGACATCCCCTTCCCACCCCCACCACTTGGAGAGAAGCTTTTCACATCAAAGGGAGGAGGAGTAGACAGCAGGGCTCCATCTGCACTGCATTCCTCTATGTTGCACCAAACAGCCACCCAGAAAGAGGGTCTCAGTGTATGTTTGTGTGCAAGTCACATTCTAAGCCTTATGAGTCTGTGAAATAGGAAATATAATAGTGCCCACCTCCTCGGTTCAATACCAACATGACTTGGTATGGGGGAATTGCTCAATTATTCCTATCTCAGGAAATGTGCTGAGGAAAGAGGCAAGTTGTGGTCACTGTTCTGACAGTTTGTTCCATCTATTTCAGACTGTAACTGGTGTGTGGAATTCTCAGCCTTGCACCAGGCCTAGCCTGACCCCTTCCTTAGGTGAGGGCTGTTCCAGAACCTGTACATAATGCCTGTTTTTCTTTCTTTCTTTAAAGAGGGATGCCTTATTATTTAACACTACAGTCAGTTATACACATGGCTGGTCTGGTCAGGGATGGGCTACCAGTTTCCTCCTTTTCCATGGTTGAATCAAGGCTTAAATGTAAAGCTCCACACCAGGAAGGTGCTCAATAAACGTTAGTCCCCCCTTTCCATCCCTTTGGGACAATCTGGAACGTTGAACTGAAAATCTGGGAAGCTCTCAAAAGTCCAATCTAAGAAGAGGGTTGGCCCCGACGAGCAGGAGAGATCTTGATACCACCTGCTTCGCAACCTACTCCCTCTTGTCTGGGCTGGAGCTGTACCATGGACAGTTTTGAGACAGGTGACCAAGTGCCTTGCACTTTTTTTGGATTTTCAAGAGATTTTTATTTTTTTTAAAAAATCGAATACATCTTTATTGTTCAGATTATTACAGGTGTTCCTCCCCGCCCCCCAGCTCCCCTCCACCTGATTCCCCATGCCACCCCATGCCCTTACCCCCTGCCACTGTCTTCATCCATACGTGTAAGATTTTTGTCCAATCTCTTCCTGCACTCCTCAGACCTTCTTCCCCCTGAGGATTGTCAATCCACTCCCTTTCTATGTCCCTGATTCCATTATTGCCTTGTATTCTTAAAAAAAAAATATATATTTTTATTGATTTTTTACAGAGAGGAAGAGAGAGGGATAGAGTTAGAAACATCGATGAGAGAGAAACGTCGATCAGCTGCCTCCTGCCCACCCCGCACTGGGGAGGTGCCTGCAACCAAGTTACATGCCCTTGACCAGAATCGAACCTGGGACCTTTCAGTCTGCAGGCTGATGCTCTATCCACTGAGCCAAATCGGTTTTGGCTGCCTAGTATTATCTATCTGTACTCCTCACAATAACCCTATCAGTCAAGTATGACTTCAAGGAAGAACCATGTTATTGAAGAATTGGAGACACAGATTCAGTAAATTGCTCAAGGCTGGGATTTGAACCCAAACAGTCTAGGTCCTAGTCTGTGCTCTACCAGCTCTGCTATACCACGTCTCCACTACTGTTGAGGTTGCAATCCATCCTAGGAAGACATATTGGAACACTACTTTTTCTCTACTCCTTGAATCTGTGGTCTAAATGTTCTTAGGTGATAGAGATCTGACTGTACATGTAAAATTTCAGGAACTTGTATTGAGGCCAGGCCTAGCCTGTTCTTATGGATCATCAAGTGCCAGGAACAGTATACCAATGTCTAGGACCAAAATTCACAAAAAATTGGATAGGGCCTCAAATGGAGATAAGCCCTATTGCCAAAGGCATGAATATGTGCACAGGTGTCTCTTTGCCAGAAAATTCTTAGGTTGTAGTTTAGGAAAATGTCCAGAAAACCTTGATAAAGTGAGATTGGGAGTAAGGGTATAGATATATTTTGTAATTTATTTATTTATTTTCTGAGCTCTCGGTTTTTATTTTTTAAATTTTTTTAAATTAAATTATCTTTGTACATATACCCCTC